AATGGGTATTTATGTCAGTGGTGAAATGGCTCATGTATAAATGAGACTCGAGTCCCAGATGCTCAGCTTTCCCCTGGGAGGTGGAGGCAATAGTGTGTTTCTGCCCATGGCATTGTTGTGCTGCTTTTACACAGATTCATAGGAGCACCCAGACCTGAAATCCCCACAGTGACCTGCCCCCATTGACCTTCCTGGGTGGCAAAGAAGAGCTGTTATGGCCCAGAGCAGTGTTGCTGGTCCCCAGGGAAGGCCCATTTGGGCTGTCCCCATACCCCCACAGTGCTCAAACCTTGGGTGCTGCCAGCACCTGGACCCCAGGCTGGGCAGGCAGCCCAGGTCTCTGTTCTCCAGCTGTGCAGAGTGAGAGGAAGGACCCAAATGGGCCTGCTGGAAGGCTGGTGGTGAGCAGGAGGGTCAGGGTGGAGGGGGCAGACCCCAAGAGCTGCTGAGGCTCCAGAGAGCCCCGAGCCGCTGGTGTGATGGAACATAGCAGGATACCTGGGACAAAGCACGCCCTGTGAGGAGGGTGTCTGTACGTCTCTGCACACCCTGGCAAGGTCACAGTTCAGGTCCTGGGGACAGCTGCTGTGACCTGCACTCCAGAAGAAACTGGGTGTGGGGACAGACTCTGAACACAGGGTGGGAAGGAAGATATGTCTGCCAGGAGACTGGGAGTCTGGAAAGGGAGGCAGATGAGGTGCCCTCGGAAGAGTAAATGGCACAGAAAGAAGGGAAACATGAGAATTATGGAATCACGCTGAAGATGACCCAGGGGCTGAAATGAGACCCTCCTCTGTCACTGCACCGGGAGAGGGGCCTGTGGGACTAGCCAAAGAGTCCTCCTTCTGGCAGCAAACCTCCTCCTCCTCCAGTGAGGAGGTCAAAGAAGGACGTGGGGGAGCAGTAAATAGGGTGTCTTCCCTGCTCGCTTGGAAACGTGAGCCTCCAGCCCTCGGAGCCATTCCGACCCGGCGGGATGGGGCTGGCGCTGCCCGCTGTGACACGTTCTCCTTCCTCGGGGGGCCGGGCGCTGGTTACAGTCGGGCTCACCCGCCAAGCGGCCCGGCCTTGCGGTGCGTGGCCTCCTGCGCCCACCGCCCGTGTCCTGCCCTGCCCCGGGACAGGCGCGGGGGGTCCCGGGGGGGGACGGGGCAGCTCCCCCGGTACCCGACGGGGCCGGCAGGGGGCGCGCGAGCGCCGCGCACCGACCACCGAGGGGAGCGGGGAGAGCGGGGGAGAGGGGGGATCCTGGGGATCTTGGGGATCTTGGGGATCCTGGGGATCTTGGGGACCGGGGGGATCCTGGGGATCCTGGGGATCCTGGGGATCTTGGGGACCGGGGGGACCGGGGAGATCTTGGGGATCTTGGGGACCGGGGGGACCGGGGGGATCTGGGGGACCGGGGGGTACCGGGGGGCCCGGGGGAGCCGGGGGATATGGGAGAATGGAGGGTCCTGGAAGGAGCT